TTAATGTATTAAAACTACTCTCACCTGATATTCACTGATGGTGATAGAATCTTGATTGTAAATTTATGGTTATTAAGAATGTTGTTAAAATTTATAGTAGGATGTTAATGAAAAAGAATTGTATTTGGTTAATAAAAGCGTATTTATTATTATAGAAAGTGTTAATTATTTTAACAAATGTATAGTTTAGATTTAGTGACAAAAGTTCAGTCTATAAACACACAGTATAAATAAAAAGAATATGTTAAAGTACAAAGGATATAATCTTAAAAGTTTAACTTGATAAAAGTGATTATTAAGTGAGAAAAATGAGCGAGTGACTGACTGGAAAAACAGTGTCTTCAGCCTTTATATAATGTACCACAAAAGTCATAAACATGGATTGGGCGTCTTGAATGTGTTATACTTTTTATAGGCACATTCAGTCATCATTCTATATTTCATAAAACGCAAAAGAATTATCATATTTTAATTTCCTTTTTTTTAGTACATTAGTAATGCCTCGAAGACGGCATGAAAGACAATGATTTACGTCTATTTTATAGTTGCCAAAAGTCAATACCATATGTGTAATCGTGTTAGCATATTCTTTTCTGTGGTCTTAGAAGTACAAGAGGTATTGATTTTATTAATATTCCAAAGGAGAATATTACAGGTTTTCAGTAAGGAAACGAGTTTCTATTGTTTGTAACGATTGACCTGTTTTCCTTACATACTGAACATTATGTATATCCTGACCTAGGGCCCTACGAGCCTTCGCGCCAAAGGCGCTTAAGCCTTTTTGGGCCGTCCTTGTAAAGAGGCCACCGATTCTGGTAAGTGTACGCGGTTGTGCCGCGTACACTAAAAAAAACCAATCAAAATTTTGTTAAAAAAAAATCTACTCAATTGAGTGTATTTAGTTGAGATCATTTGATGTATCGTTAAAAAAAGTTGATAAATGAGAGCCATAAAAAAAAAATCACTTACTAAAAATACTTTAATATGAACAAGAATTATCTTCAAACGAGGGATATTACAGTGATGGGGTCATTGATATTTATTAAAGTTATTGAATTTTAATAACATAAAAATCAAATTATTTTAAAAAATAATTAAACTCAAAAACTTTTGTAAGGTATTTCAAAACAAAATAAAATATAAAATCGAAAATTTTTACACAAATATAGCATACGGTAGTCATTTTCAGTGTGAAGACGAAATAAAGTTCGAAAATTAATATGTATAAAAGTTGTAGTATGTCGCGGTCGCATCGTATTTCCGGTGTTACCGCCGGATGGCGATCACGGCGCTTCCTCTTCACGTCCCACAGGTCACGCTATTCGCGGTGGCCAACGGGCGATGCGAACCGATCGCCCGGGTGCTGGACAAAAAAAATTGAAAAAAAGTTACTTAATTCTTTTTTTCATGTCAACGGTCACTGTTACTTACAAAAAGAAGGCGCTTGTATTTAAACATCTATTTTAACCCAGAGAGATACTTAATTTCACCAGAAAGACAGGACTCTTTGGTCATCTTTAGAGGTGACTTTATGGTTTGTAATGTATTAACAATTTGGTGATAACACTTAGGTGGGTAAACCGAATCAAGACAATTCGGTATGAGGTGTGCACAATGGACCAACAGGTCTGAGTGCATGGGCATTATGTCTACCTCGATAATAACTAAAACTAAACATCTATTTATTTAAACTATTGTTAATATTAAATAATATTGTTTCATCTTTGGAATAAACGCTTCTAGTGCTATTGCGTAATTATTGTTACTATATTTATACCTAATTACCCTGACTACATCAAGTATTTCCGGAACACAATCAAAAGTTAAGTTGAAAAAGTAAGGATTTTTAAATTTGTAATTTTTTTGGAGAATTCCCACATTTACGAGAACAAAGGAAATGTTTTCAATTTTTGTGGGTAATGTCTTCAACTAGATACAATTTGTGATCTAAAATGACGTATCGTTTAAAGAAATTGGTTCGGTATAAGCTGAAAACAAACACACAAAAAAAAAAAATGAAAAAATAACACATAGCAAAATTAATACCTTTTCAGTTTCGTATCAAAGCTAAAAATATATTAAAAATTGAATTTTAACGTGCATAAAAATTGAAGAGCTTGATGCAATATTAATCAGTAAACTAAGTTTAAATTAAAATGCTTAAGTTTCTGGCATTAAACTCCAAATATATTACCAGTATAACAAAAACCTAGGATATTAATTAATCACGACACATCTGATAAATTAAAATTATCTATTAAACAAGCGTTATTATATGAATCTAATGTTTTAATTGTACTAATAAACAATTGATAAATAAATTCCCTTTGAATAGGGGATAAGAATACTTCCACGGCCCCTCTGCCAGTCATAAAAGAAAGATAGATACTAAGTAAGAATAGGTACTTGAAATGTTGGAACATTAACTGGTAGAAGTAGAGAATTAGTACAAGTATTGAAGAGGAGAAAAGTTAACATTTAATGTGTGCAGGAAAGTAGAGAAATCGAGGGAAATAGGTGAGGGTTATTAAATAATATATTCAGGTAAGTCTAGTACAGAGAATGGTGTAGGGATAATAATGGACGAGGAGATGAAAAGTAAAGCAGTAGAAGTAGCTAGGAAAAGTGACATGATTAGTCATGAAATTGATATTCGAGAAAAAAGTGATGAATTTAATAAGTGCCTATGCATCACAAGTGGGATGTGATGAAATAGACAAGGAAGTGTTTTGGAGAGAGATGGATGAGGTGATGCAAGGGGTACCTGGCAATGAGGATGCAGTGATAGGCGGAGATATGAATGGACATGTAGGTAATGAGAGGAGAGAATATGAAAGAGTACATACAGGGTATGGTTTTAGTGGGAAGAATGAGGCTGGAGAAAAAATCCTGGATTTCGCAGTATCGTATGATCTTGCTGTGGTAAATACCTATTTTAGAAAGAGGGAAAAACATTATATAACTTATAAGAGTGGGAGGAATAGATCACAGATTGATTATTTTATGTGGAAGAGAGAGAGCATAAAGCGAGTAAAGGATTGTAAAGTTATACCAGGCGAAAGTGTAACTACACAGTATAGACTGATGGTAATGGATTTTTGGTGTACCGGGAAAAGAATATACAAAAACAGAAGGAACACGGGAGAAAATTGAAAATCCGTTGGTGGAAATTGAAAGGGGAAAATGAAAAAGAGACTGTCAAGACGGTCAAAGAGAGGACGGTGTGAAATGTCGGAGGAGACATAAATGATGTGTGGAATAGATTTGCTAGTTTTAAGTATTTAGGATCAGTTGTAAAAAAGAGCGGTGGTATTGACCTGGATGTAAGACACAGGATTAAGTGGGGGTGGTTGAAGTGAAGAGAAGGGTCTGGCGTCTTATGCGATAAAAGAATTCCAATGAGGCTGAAAGGTACATTTTACAAGACTGTAAAAGGCCAGCTATGATGTATGGTTCAGAGTGTTAGGCGGTTGATAAGAAAGTAGAGCAGAGAATGAGAGTAGCAGATATGAGAATGATTAGATTGATGAATGGAATGACTAGAGAAGATAGAATAAAGAACGAGTACATAAGAGGGAGTATAGGTGTAGCGTCAATCATGGATAAAATGAAAGAAAATAGACTTAGATGGTTTGGTCATGTTATGAGGAGAGAAGAATCGGAAGTTGTAAGAACAGTAGTAGAAATGAATGTTGAAGGAACCTAAAAAAGTATTGATTGCGATGGTTCAAGGGGGACAATCCCCCATACCCCCCTGAAATACACAATAATTATTAATATTCTAATTATAATAATTGCATTAATATGACAGAATAATAACAAAAATATTTCTTCAGGTTATTACTCCTGGAAATATGTAAAAATTCTACTTTTATAAGAATATCGGTTACTGTGGTTTGACGTTGACAGCATAGTTGTCATAAATGGATCCCAATTTTTACGATAAAATCATTGACTGTCACATCATATATGAGATAAATGCGATTAATAATACTGTACTATTCTGATTATGAATGTACAAACTTATATACTTATAACAGTCTTGAAATTTATATATTACTTATTAATAATTCCTTGATATAAATTATACAAAATAAATTGCTATGCGTAAATGCAAAATCGTATTCTAATATAAACTCTTTATGGACATAAGAAATTTTAATTCAAAACGATAAAAGAACATTCGAATGAATAGTAAGCTAATTATAAAGTTAAAATTCAAACAAAAGATATATATAGCAATAAACTTGATTAAATATATCAAAAAATTTTGTATTATAAACAATTTTGAAAGAAATCGACAGAAAGTATCTGTATAAAATAAACTAAACATAATATATAAAAATAACAAACATAATATCAAATAAAAAAGATAGTTAATAATTTAACCCAATCAATTCATATTGACAACTATAACATGTATTAAATATGAATTAAAGAGAAAAATTGACATGAAAATTCATTATCTACAAATTCAGAATTAATATTAATATATACAAAAAGGAGTCGATATTCTTATTCAAAACATGCGCGTGGACTTAAAAAAAAAAAGTAGCTCGTAGAATAGTAAAAAATTAACGGATTAAATTAATTTTTTCATGATTTCTCAGAAATGTCTTTGTGTGGGTCTGGTAAAAATTTCAAACCTTAAGTCGTAAAACGCTGGCGCCATGGAACGTTTTTCTCGAAAACGGTAAACATTTTAAAAACGCTCTCGGTCAAGCGTCAATAATTTTACAGGAGTCTTGTCGAGTACTTTCGTTGAAAAAAAAAATTTTAAATGTGGAGTATTCTAAGTAATTTTTCCAAAAAACTGGTTTTTGTCCTTGTTCTATTCTATAAAAAGATAATATTAGCTCATATAAAATTTAATTTTTATACACCTTGGTTTAATAGCTTTTGATCTTAAATTTAACTTAACCCTAGTTAGTAAACCATTATTAACTTATTTTTTAGCAGAATATTTTTAAGCACCACATAAGTAAAAAAAAATCACTATATAATTCTTTTAATTTTTTTATTCAATCAATATTCAATTTGTAAATTAGAAGGACCTTCTAAACGTAGTTTAGAAGAAGCAGCCAACATTGTATCCATACTTTTCATCATTAAATTAGTATTTAGTACTTTCCATGTATTCTCTGCTTGAGGATCTTCCCTAAGAATAAATTGTTGTTCAAACATTCCAACCATTCTTCCAACACCTTGATGTAGTGTACCACCAATTTGAACTTTTAATAGGCCATGGGATTCTTTTTTCCATTTAATATCATCACTCAGATGAGGTGAGAAAATTAGTTGATGTTGTTGTTTAATATTAAGTAAGCATTTTAAAACTGATGGTGAATCTTCACAAGTTTCATTGATTTCTTCACTACCACCAAGTATTCTTACTGCCATAGTACAATTTTCATAAAAATGGCGGTTATCTAATTGATTTTTATCAGGAATACCCAGATCATTAAAAAGATCATAATAATGTTTAGCAAACATTTTAATAAACTCTTCCAAGAGTTCATTATCATGTTCTTTTTTAGTTTTTGTAGAACTTGGTTCTATAGGCATCTAAAAATAAAAATGCTATCTATTACACAAAACATTTAAGTAAAAATGAATTTTTATACTACATACTAGATAATATATTTTTTAATTGATATATTATTAATAATAAAAAAAAAATTGTTTTCATTTTTAAAAATATTATCAATTAAAAAAACATATGAAAATGAGAAATTTGAATTTTTATTTTTATAATTTACTACAAGCATTTGAATTTGAAAAAAATTTCATCTTGAAATAAATTCTTTTCTATTATCATACTTTATTCTTCAAAATTTAGAAAGTAAAATGTACCATTATAATAATAATAAATTCACTAATATTTTACAATATATTTAATATCGAGTATGAAAAACAATTATAATTTTATTTAAACCTTCAGGTTCATGTTATTCTGATAAACTCATTTACATTTACTATTAATCAAATATTTAATTTTTTGATTTAATTCATTACTATTAAAACTTTTAGAATTTGTTGATACAACTTACTTAAGTTACTATCTTGCATTTCCTAACTATTATTTTAGTGAAAATAAAGAAAAATTACTTAGATAGTTTAAAGAGTTGGAATTCCCAGTGAGTTAGGTAAATCAAAAAGCACTCTATTGTACATCATTAAAAAAAATTATATATATACAGATTCATTATGGATATGACACTCATTTCTCAGAAACTATTTTAAAATTTTGTAAAGGAAAATATTGTATGATTTAAATGACTACAATAATATGTAGTTAAATAATTTATTTTTTCATCCCTTACATATTATAGAAGTGTCAACCATATTTTTTAAATGGAAAAATATGTATTAAACTAGTTTATAAAATAAAAAATCATCTAATTAAGAAAATGATTGGCTGATAGCTTTTGAATCAGTGCTACATAGGATATTCATATTGTACCTAGATGGGAGGAGGAGTGCAGTTGAGAAATGATTAATGATTAAAAAATAAAATTACAAATTTTGATTAGTCTAAAATAGTGTTAACCAAATAAGTTTCAAATATTGAGATAGAAAATTCAACAAAAATATTTGTTATCTATATATACAGAGTGATCAGCTATGTCTCACATAATATCTTTAAAAATACAAGTTTTATAAACAATTTTTTTTAATAATTATGGATCTTTGATGAGCTGTTTCAAAAGAAAAATTAAATTTCTATCATCATTCCTTATACTTAGAACTTATATCAACTTCAGATTTTCAAATGGCAAACCCATATTATTTTTATATATTTTTGTTTGTCATAAAAAAAAAATATTTAGAAAAAAAAACATGAATTTTAAACAAGATACACTACTTTAAATTTACGATATTTTATGAAAAAATTCAGTAGTTTTTCCAACACACTTACACTATTATTTTATGTAGTGATAAGAGCTACCGGTTTACTGTATCAGTGCACATAGTCAGAATAACTTAGGTATGTTTGGTATGTTTATTTATAAAATTGGTAGCGCTAATTGATTTTAATCTTATAACATTCGAGTGTATAATAATTTTTTCTTAATAAACCCTATAATTTAGAGAGCTGTGGAGCGCTTAATATTAAACAAAATAAAATATTTTTTTTACAAAACATTTTTTAATTAAACTAAATCTATTGGTGCAAAAAAAAAAGGTCACCATTTGAAAATATTAAGTTGATAGAAGTTTTAAGTAAAAGGGACAGTGGTAGAAATTTAAATTTTCTTATGAAACATCTCATAACTGATAACCCTGTATATTTCAATTGCTAGGATATCATTATTGTTATATAAATATTAATATTGAAAATAAAATGTAATATATATCTAGTTGTTAAAATTTTATTTGACAAGCTTACTACTTTGAGTCATATCCTTAATCAATCATTCTGTATATATTAGGGTGGTTCTTAAAAATGAAGTTTTGAAATTTATTCAATACATTCCTTAGAATTGTTCTATTAGTTAAAAATAATTTGTATAAAATTTGGTTGAAATTGAGTAATGTTATCATATTTTGCAAGAAGGTTAAAAATTAGACTGTAAGGGGGAATGATTTTTTGATCTTTGTCACTTAACTTACAAACTATGCTATTTAAAGAAAAAACTATAGAAATTAATATATAGAATTACATTTTTGCTGTAGAAAATATTATTAAAAAAAAAAGTACTATAATAAATAAGCATAAAAATTAAAAATCAATATTTTTATATAACCATTGAAATTTATTTTGTTCATATATTTGAATTTTGCAGAGTAACTATTTGAAATACAAAAAAAAGTTGTTTAGAATTAAACTTTTTATTATTATTGTTGCCAAAAGGTAATTCAAATATTCTAGTATTAATATATAAGCAAATTTTTTTTTTTACAAATATACTCAAAATAAATTATTGAAATTTTAATAAGTAGTTTTACGTTATTAAGGATAAAAATTAGGCTACCTAAAATTATTTTTCAGATTTCATTAAAAAGTACATAAATATACTACACTAAAAAAAGGCTTTTAATGATGTTTAAATTTTAAATAGGTGATATAACAGTTGAAAATGCATCAAAAGATACTTTCATGAATAGATTAATTTAAAAGATAAATATATTTCTTAATGCTTTTTTTTTTTTTTGATATTAAAATAAATTCATTGCAAAATATACAAATTATTTAAGCTGTATATTACTTTGGCCATCCACCGGGCATGAAGGCATTTTAAAGTAATTTTTATTAAGAGGTTCAATAATAATAATAAAAAACAATAATAAAATATTATTGTTAAATCATTATAATAATTTCTTAGTAGTTTAACACGAGATAATTCTTAGAATAAATAAATTATATTGTTACAAGAATCTTTCAATGATTACACAACAAGATTAAAAATTATATCAAGCTGATAAATGTTACTATTTATGATACCCCAAATTGTTAAAATCTTTTAAATATTTAAACAATTTAATTAAAGAAACATTAAGTATAAATATTTTTTTAATTAATTTGTACAAATATATATAAATATATAAGAGGTTTTCTATTTATGACATTTTAATAGACAGTTTTACAATTTAAATAATTTTAATAAATAATAAATTAATATTAAACTTACATGATGCACAACTATATGATGAGGATTTAATGACATCATATTATTATTGGTATTACAAAGTGGTGGTAATTGTTGAGGATAAAATTGTGGCGGTCTTAATGGTTGCACAACAGGTTGAGTAAAATCTGGTTGGGTTTCTATTAACTGCTTAAAAAAGGCAGGTGTATCATTTTTTATCATATCTGGAGATGGTGTCATTCCCTTTACTATAAAAAACTTGATTATACTAGTCAGTGGAGTTTTTTTACTAGTTAATATACGCCAATAAGGTTGAGTTATTAACAATAGTTCTGCCTCTAAAAATAAAATGTATTTTAAATGATTAATTAATTAATTTAAAAATTTATTTCTAAATAGTATAAGATAACAAATTTATTTGGCATAATTGAACGACTTAAATAACAAAAAACAGTATCATCTAGTACTTATTTATTGAGTAATTTTAAATTAAACTATATTAACAAAGATATATACTTGTAAAATTATAATTAAAGTAATTTACTTAACCTTATATAGAGACCTATATATAAAGTACTTAAGTAGATGATTTAAATATTTTTTAGTATTTTGTATTTAAAATAAAATTTATATTATTTGAAAGAATATTAAATTTCTTTCAAATAATAGAATAACAATCACTTCTTATTTTTTTTACCGTACGTTTGATTGATCTATAGTAGGGTTATTTATAAGCATTGATTCCAAATAAATTATAGTTAATGGTTTCAAAAATGTATGGAAGAAATTATCATACATAAATATTTTTATATAAATTACTATACTTAATAGATTTTAAAAATCAAGCAAGAACATTGACAGTTAACCCATTTAAAAATTGAGTTTTAAAAGTAAACTCGTCTTATAAGGTACTAAAAAAAATTACCTTCTCGTGATTGTATATTAATTCCTCCACCTCGATACACGGACCTCGCTATATTATATAGATTGTTTGTTTCTAAAGTATTCAGGAAATCTTTGAGTAATCGCTTTTCAATTTCTGTAGCCATTGTTGCATACAAATTGAAAAAGAGTTATTGCTAAATTGTAGGTCTCTTAAATTTTGTGAATTCTGATATATTAAATGATAAGGTATATCTACAATTCATTAAAATATGATATGGTTTCAGGAATCTATTGAAAAACGCGCTCTTGTAGTCAACACGAGCGTGAAGCTACCAATTCGTGGTCCACCAACTTCTTATCACTAACAAATTACGGTTACCGATATTTTATAGAGTATAACGCTTTTTCTAACCGATAGATGTAGACACATAATACCAAAAAGCATATATTAAACCCATTCACCAATCATACACACAACAAAGATCTGACGGGCGGTGGGAGTATAAATACACTTACTATCGTATACACCGCCATACCAACTCGGATAATTGTGAGCGACCACTGCATTTAACAACTTAGCATTAGATATTATATTATATTCAGAATATGTATAGAAAATATCTGGACTCGTCTCGGAACATTCACAAATTCGCAAATTACTGTGTCCGAGTTGGTGTGTTTATATGCTACCAAAAGTAATTTCCGCGGTCTTTATTTACAATATTAAGTTACACCTGCACGTTTCACCCGTTAGCTTTTCACACCATTTATAGAGTATTATATAAGCTTTCAGAATATGTATAGATAATATCTGGACTCGTCTCGGAACATTGTCAAAATCGCAAATTACTGTGTCCGAGTTATATGTTTATTAAAATTATTTTATTACACGTAAAATTGTTGACTTGTCGGGGACTCATTTAGTTTTTCTGTAATTTCGTTATAATCATCTATATATTGTTAAATTCCCACTTTTTAATAAAGACGGTATGAAAGTTAAAAATGCAATGTTCTGCGTCTTAAAAAAAAATTGTATCATACGTTTGTAAATGAAATCGTGGTAGAAAAAATTTAAAAAATTAACAACTGTTAACGACTTTTTATATTATGCTGATGAATTAATATGTATTGAACGATAAAATATAATAAATTTCAATAATTTAATATAATAGTTCTATTATGTTAAAATTAGATAACTAATTAATGTAAAATGTCAGCTTTCGGGATATGTTATGAAATTACCGAGACTCGTCTACGATTATTGTCATAAATGCAAGTTGATGAGGCCCATACGTGCGTAATACGTTATCAAACCTATTAGGCAGTTTTTTTTAATTAATTTGCAATATTCTATTAGATCAACGAATTATGGTGTTGGTCTGATTGAGACGATTGTCAGAAAAATGTGTAAAATGTTTTTGTTACCTGGTTATGAAGTTTGTATTAAATACAATGAGGATAGACATAAAAAAGCAATTAACAAAAAATTTTTTTTTATTTTAAAATAAATTAGCAAAAATATTTTTTTTTAAATTATTTTTGATTTTTGTTCATTCATCATTAATCTGATTTGATGGCGGCGGCGGCAATCCTGCTGCTAAAAAAAAATAATATGTTATTGTTTAAATTAGTTACCTTATATGTATTGTTTTACAGTGGTCCAACGTTTAGGGAATTGAGAAATCTTTTGATATTCCATACTATTAATTTGCTTTATAATTGTGTCATTATTGTATTTTTATCATTGTTTCATAAAATTTAAACAGAAAAAAAAAAGTTGTTAAAATCTTCAATTTCATAAAACCATAATTGTAGCATCCTCTAAAATTTGCACCACTGTAATTTGTATTATTATGTGTGTAAAATTACATAAGCCAACATAAAATTTTAAACTAGATTTATTAAGAGATTAAGTGTTTATTAAATTGAACCTATAAAAAAATGTCTACGTTTTAATAAATATATTTTTTTCCCATATTTAAAACTCATTTATAAGTTTTTATTAATAAAAAAATGTTATAGAACTTAAAATTTTACTATTAAAATTGTTGTTAGTTAGAATTTTTCTTTTAATCAATTGTTTTTTTTTATATCCTTTTTAAGTAGACAATAAAAATGAACATTTTTTTTTAATTTTTCATTATTATTTTAGTAAAATAATTTAACCCTATAATAAAGTTTTTAAAAATAAAAAAATGTCTACATTCTGACCAGACTTGGGAAGCGTTTTTAAAATAATATTTAATAGCTTTCACATTCATAAAATATTAAAAACAATTGGTACAAATTAGTATATCAATATATTAAAAATAAATATATAATTTTATAGGTTGACTTATAGGTAGGTTTAAATTATAAAATAAATTATCATTTACAACTACCATAGAACTATTTATAAATAAACCAGAAACATAAAATGCATCCTACAAAGGTTGTCAACTGGCCTTAAAAAAACGAAATGAAAAAAATATTAAAATAAATAAGTACCTTTAATGTGGCATTCTTGTTCCCCGTGCCCGGAGAAATGACAGTGTTTACAATTTTTTTTCTTTATTGGTGGATATCCAGCTGCTATAATTAAAAAACAAGGATTTATTACTGCTTGAAGTGATTGAGGATATATCTATGTTTACAGTTGAGTTCTGACGTTTCGGACTCATTGCAGGGTCCGAAACGTCAGAACTCAACTGTAAACATGGATAAATCCTCAAGCACTTCAAGCAACAAGACAATCCATGAAAGTTTTAACACATTCATAAGGATTTATTATCAAGGTAAAAACAGATCATAATTATGAAAATTGTTTATATAGTGTAGTTTTCATGATAGATCTAGTAACAATTGACAATACCATTTATTAAACACGCAACATTAAAATAAATCAGCATTAACCTGTATAGGTTTGAATCAATTATTTAAACAAAACACAAAAATTAAAAAATTAATTTTTTGGATAAGAAAAAAATACTTTTAGAACGTTATTAAATTTAAAAAATATATATATCACAAATATTACCTTTAACATGACATGCCATTTCCCCGTGTCCAGGGAGACCACAATATTCACATATTTTGGGAGCCATAGGAGGCAGACCAGCAGCTAAAAAATAATTGAAATTAGCAAAAATTGTGTTAGTCTCAATTAAGTATAATGACAAAATTAAACATTTTGTATGTAAAAACGCTTATTGAAAGTATGACCCAATATTTAATATGATAGTAACATATATAAGAACAAGAACTTTTAAAATAAAATAAAAGCTGCTAAATATTCCTGAAGAAAAATACATTTACAATTACCCCACTCGTCTCTATGTATATAGAAGATTATGTTTAAATTTTAATAACTTACCACCTCTAAATTTTTTCTTCAATTCCTCCTTACTTGGCGGTGAACCTCTTCTTTTGTCACCTCATTCCCGCATATTTTTAAATGTAAAATACATCTAGAACAAAAAAATAATAATTGGACATAGGTCTATAGATAATATAAAAGGAGTTATAATTACATTAACAAACAATTATTATTATAGTCTCTAATATTGTTCATTAATTAACAATGTAATTATTGTAAAGGTCGTTCGAGAGTACAGAAATAATTATCACGCCGCCACCGATTCGCCGCCGGACTATTCGCCGCTGACGTTTCGCCGCCGACCCATTTCGCCGCCAGACACTTCGCCGCGGACGTTTCGCCGCCAGACTCTTGCTATATAAATTTATTAAAGTTATTGCGCATTGCAAAATAATAAAAGAGATGTATTATTTTGGAATAAATAAGCGAAGAAAATAAAACATAATTAATTTAAAAAGTAGAAGAAATCTCTCCGTATAAATATATTTTTTTTTGATTATATAAAATGTAACACAAATTTAGTAAATGTTATTTGTTGTGCAAAGCCATGTTGTGGTATGTTGTAAAATTGACTTATGTTTATAATAGTGAACGTCAAATAATTTTGCCATAGTTGGTGAATAAAAATCTTTATGTAAAAAATCATCATGGAAACATTACTCCTTTATCCACGAATTGTTTTATTTGTATTACTAAACAAAATTATGGATTTAGGTCTATTTAGCTATAAATGGATTTATTCTTATTAAGCCTATTTCAAATATTCGTTTCATTTTAAAATAGTGCTCTGTTGAATTTATCTACATATAAATAATAACCAAGACTTATATTTAAATCTCCCTATTTTTTAGAATTATTAATCTTTCCATATTAATTAATCACAATAATTTTGAAATTGTATTATTACTTATAGTTTCCTTAATATAAAAATTATAAAACAAAAATTGTACAAAAATATCAAAAAAGGTATGTTAATAGAGATCTGTACCCTTAATTACCCTAATTAACCATTCTAAAACTTTGATTTATTGTTAAACAAAATATCTTATACACAATAAATAATAATACAAAATAATAAAGTATCTTGTTATTCGCATCCAAACGATTCGATACTCATATGTACCATTTAAATTGCTTGAATAGTTTATTTTAAAAGTGACAATTTTTTTTTAAATAACAATTTATAACACTGACTCAAGTTGTTTTAATTTAATTTCTAAAATTATTAAATAGCTATCCAAGAGGATACAGAATTTTTGAGTATTTTATACTTTGTTCATTAAAAATATACAAAATTTGCAAAAACTGGGTTGCTAATTTATGATACGACGCTAAGTATATACATTAATTATTAATAATTATACCACATTGTTATTATCTATACATATAAATAAGAGCATTAGTATGCTTGAAATATAGTTATTTCAATAGTATTAATTGTTAATATGAAAGAATAACATTGAATGTTATAATTATGATAACATTTAATTATAATAATTAAATTAAGTACAAATTAAATTTAAATAATTTGTGACATCATATAAATAATTAATTTTTTTATCATTATACTGGATTTTAAGGAATTGTGCAATGAAGGATTAGGCTAAAATAATTATAATTTTTCGAAAAGGCGTTAATAAAAAATTTATATAGCAAGAGTCTGGCGGCGAAGTGTCCGGCGGCAAAACGTCCGCGTCGAAATGTCCGGCGGCGAAACGGTGGCGGCATATTGTCTGGGTCCGGATAGTAAGTGTATTTATACTCCCACCGGCCGTCAGATCTTTGTTGTGTGTATGATTGGTGAATGGGTTTAATATATGCTTTTTGGTATTATGTGTCTACATCTATCGGTTAGAAAAAGCGTTATACTCTATGAAATATCGGTAACCGAAATTTGTTAGTGATAAGAAGTTGGTGGACCACGAATTGGTAGCTTCACACTCGTGTAGTCAACTATGTTTTTTATTCAATTAAATATTAAATTTTAAGGGAAGGTGTTTACTTTTTATTTGTATCTGTTGCCATTTTTCTTATATTCCAATTTAAGTGTTCTGTTATATGTAAAATAAATATTTAAGATTTAAAATAATATCTAATTGAAGGCATTTTTCTCAAAAATTGAGTTTATTTTTTTTATTACAGAAAATTACTATCATTAAAATCGATGGGGTTTCGTATTTTAACGTTATAATTGATACATTAGATTTATTTTTCTATTGAAATAATTTTTTTTTCATATATCTCGCTTTGTATAAGGATTTAAATATGGTAACATCAAAAATTATAATAATAACTTTTTTAGGTTTAGTTAAATTACAATCTCTTATATTAGTTACTACAATATTTCTCGTAAATGAAAACTGTATGATAGAAATACAAAAAATTTCAATCATCCATATTTTCCCAAAATTTAAGCTTTGTGTCCTTTGTTAATCGAATCGTATGAAAATTTAATTTTACGTCAAAAAATAACGGTCACCTTAATCAATAGACTAAGTTTAAATTAAAATGCTTAAGTTTCTGGCATTAAACTCCAAATATATTACCAGTGTAACAAAAACCTAGGATATTAATTAATCACGACACATCTGATAAATTAAAATTATCTATTAAACTAGCGTTATTATATGAATCTAATGTTTTAATTGTACTAATAAACAATTGATAAATAAATTCCTTGTGGATAGGGGATAAGAATACTTCCACGGCCCCTCTGCCAGTCATAAGAGAAAGATAGATACTAAGTAAGAATAGATACTTGAAATGTTGGAACATTAACTGGTAGAAGTAGAGAATTAGTACAAGTATTGAAGAGGAGAAAAGTTAACATTTAATGTGTGCAGGAAAGTAGAGAAATCGAGGGAAATTGGTGAGGGTTATTAAATAATATATTCAGGTAAGTCTAGTACAGAGAATGGTGTAGGGATAATAATTGACGAGGAGATGAAAAGTAAAGCAGTAGAAGTAGCTAGGAAAAGTGACATGATTAGTCATGAAATTGATATTCGAGAAAAAAGTGATGAATCTAATAAGTGCCTATGCATCACAAGTAGGATGTGATCTTATCTGTCATACTAATTTAATTGAAATTGTTTAAAAAGAGGTATAATTAAACCAGACATAACAGTTAAAATAGTTTCATAAAATACACCTTGAAGAAACAATTGTTACGTAATAACTGCGCCAATTGGTGGAATAAAAATCTTCATCAACATATCATTTGTTAGCGATATGAACTAATGTAATACCATGTTCTATATTATCTGTGCAAGTTCAAGGTAGTTGAAGAGCTTTATATTTCTTATTAATACACTACCTTTACGCGATAAACTTAACAATTGCGAGTTATGGTCATAACGAAAAATATAATTTGAAAAAACCAATTTTGCTGTACCAAAACTATCATTTAAACAAGTTTTAACTAAAATAATAGTCAGCAAAACGAAACGTCTCAGTTTATCTTAAATAATCTAATTTTGTACGCATTACCCCTAACATTTTGGTAAAAATCTAAGAACGATGCACTATTAACAAAATGACAATTAAGGTTATTACATAAAATTATTTGCATTGTGATTTTTTAAACGAAGTTTTTTGATATAATACTTCTATAATATCATCATAATTTTTATCACGGTAAAATTTTTTTTTATGAGACTCATAACCTTCTGGCATAAATGCTGGTGCCATAATACCATTAAAGAAATAGGGCAATATACGTATATAGAAAGATGAGTAGCTAAGATATTTTGTTTTAAGTTAAGTATAATATTTTTGTAGTAGGAAATTAAACCAGTATATAAATTATTAGCTAAAATATTTGGGTTGAGCATTATAACAGAAAATTCTTTAATTTTAAAGTTTTAACTGCTGATAGGCTATTAAATAATGTAGTTATACTAGCCCCTATAATTAATGATTAAAACGCGATTTTCCAACAAAATCAAGTAATGTCTCATCAGACTTCCTTACATAAGAAGTAATAATACTATTATTAATAGGTTAGGCTAATATGCAGTATTCCTTATTTTTTTCATTTTGATTAGATGAAGATAAAATAATTTTATTTTCAGGCACAATAGTCTTCCTCAAGACTAACTTTTGAAGAAGTATTTGATAACTCACAGACAAAGGAATTAATTTTAATACATTATTTAAAATCGTAGCAATTTGTCCTACTAATTAATTGGTATTATAGAGGTAGTATTCACGTTATATTATTAAAAATCCTTTTTTTTGCTCATAACTTTTTTTTAGGTAAGTTTTAATTGAAAAGTAGTTATTAGACATATTTGAATTAAAAACCAAATTTAATGCAGTAGATTTTGTTTCCTGGCTTTATTGCATGAGCTGTGATATTTGCTAATGAATCATAATACAATTCTATCTGTATTAATTAAAATTTGATTAATATAAGTAATTACAAAATAACAGCCAAATTATTTAAAAAAAAACATTAAAATTACTTTAATTTCAAAGCTCTGCAAGTTAAACTAAAATATTTTAATAAGTAATAACAAACATTATCATTGATAAAATATCTTTTCAAATGAAGACTCTCTTACACAGATATCTATTCATATGCAAGTTTAATTTTGTTTGTAAAAAAAACTGAAAATGTCTAACAATTTTAGTTAAAAAAAAAGTTGGTACAAAAAATCTTTTGCAATTAACAATAACAATTCATTACCATAGCACATATAGTTGTAAAAATTAGACATGTATTTTCATATATATAATATTACTCAATAGGAAAAAAAAATTGCAAATATTTTTCATAAAATGTTTCATCTTCTTTCAAAAAAACAACAAAAATTATGCGTTCCACCTAAAAAATACATTATTATTTTTTTATCAACTAATTAGTAAATATTTTGTTTTATTTGAATGATATTATTTAAGTAATGTCATTATTAGTGAACTTTATAAATAAATAAAACCATAGTATTTTTAATTATTATGATAAAATTATTTAGTAATATCCTGGATTTTAAATTAAGTCCCTACTGATTAAGAGTTATAAAAAACCTTAAAACTGTTTTTTGTTAAGTCTAATTGAATTTAAAAACATTAATTAATGTTGATCAAGAGCATGCTCAGGATGGAATAAGATATGGATCAAACCTTCCCATTCTGAAAATTATTTGGTGTTTAAGATTCGCTATTATTTTATTGAAGAGGTAGAAAAAGTATTGTAATGTATAATATCTACATAAAAAATATTTGAATATGAGATATTAATATCTATAGGCAAAATAAAAAAAGCAATTAACATTAGATCTGAGATTATAAATTCTTTAAATTATTTTTAGAACACCCATTAATGATTAAAATGGTTGTGTTAAAAAAGTAAAAATAGTTTCTAAATTTCATAATAATTTATCAAATTCTTTACTTTGAATAGATATTAACAATAAAAGGTTAGTCTAAAGAGTTTGTTATAATTTATATAATATTAATACTACTGAAATTTTTTTCCTTACTGAGGTATGGTTACTCTCCAAAAAGTTTCTTACAGTTTGTAAGGCAATTTGACATGCTTTTTCTTGAGGGTATCCTAAAAATATAAAATAATTAATTTTATCATAAAATTATAATTATAATATTTAAACAATTCAGAAAAACAATACTTTGAATGTAAATAATCATATTAAACTATTTTTGAAAAAAAAAAACTGTACTATATAATGTGATTAAATTTAGTTCATTTGAAGTAAGAATCTTTTTTTATTCTTACACAATTCTACAGACATTTCTTAGTAAACTGTTAAATTCTGTAATAAGCACATATTAAAAAATAAAAAACCGTGTTTATTGTTAGTAATTTAGAATATTTATATCAGAATTATGCTAAACGAATCAAAAATTCACTAAATAAGCTACAATTGAACCTCTTATTTGAGAAACAGTGCAAGACAAAAATTTTAAACTTATAGAAAACAATAATAAATATAGTTTAAAAAAACTAAAAAACACGCTTTTAAAGCACATCAAACTAAAAAGTTAAAAATAATTTTTAAAATTAACTTAAAACAATATTGAACGAAAAATACTAGTATTATTGTGAAAAAAAGCGTCAGGCGCTCAATATACAAAAAATATGGCATAAAGCACCCACGCTTTTTTTCACAATAATACTAGTATTTTTCGTTCATTATTGTTTTAAGTTAATTTTAAAAATTATTTTTAACTTTTTAGTTCGATGTGCTTTAAAAGCGTGTTTTTTAGTTTTTTTAAACTATATTTATTTTTCACTTTTTAGTTTCATGTTATGATAGTAGTTAATATCAATATCATGGTTGTAACGGGTAACGGGAAATAAGGGTTCGATTCCGGAGAGGGAGTCTAAGAAACGGCTACCACATCCAAGGAAAGCAGCAGGCGCGTAACGTGGAGGTAGTGACGAAAAATAACGATACGAGGATCATCCTCCGTAATCGGAATGAATACACTACATATCTCTTAATGAGAATAAAGTGTATTAATATATAAGTTTTAATAGTAATTAGAATATATATATATATATTTAAAGGGACTTAAGTACGTAAACGTATCATGCATGATTTTGCGTGTTTATGTGGGCGGGCATGGCGGAGGGAACATTATACACGAGGCATATACGGCAGCAGAGGCGTCGGCTGTAGGAATATATAAATGAATATTAACATATACGTATAAATATTAATATATATATATATATTAATATTAGCGGTGGCGGTAGGAATATATAATCTTCGCATAATATCGCGGCACTTTTGCTGGCGTCGAAGAAGCGATGTCCGGCGTGATCCTCGGGCGTCAATAGGTTAGCAGCGTAGATGACGACGGTGCGCGAGTGCGGATCAGTTTGTTGACGATGTTATTTTGACAATGGGAAGAAGACTACGGTATAGCGGCGGGACGTCGTTGGCCGTGCGGCACTTGCTGGACTTTGCACCGCGGCGTAAAACGCCGCGGGGTTGTGTCAATTACAATAAAAATTTGTTATATATATATATATATAATTGATGATAAGCGCGCGTCTACGGGTTGGAAAATATTGTTCTCTACGAGAGGAGTTACAAACTTACAAACAACATACACATGAAACTAATATAAGCGTGTTAAAAAAGCTCTTTATAATCTAGCATTGACATATTGTATTGAAACTGAGATGACTAAATACATGTATATGATGAAATACAAATATATATATATATATATACAATTTTAACTTAAACGGAAAAACTTCAAAGCTTTGGATTATTTCGAAAATGCATGGTTTTATGTAATATATAAATGCACTAATTAATATAGTAAGTTTGCACTTAGAATTTTCATCAGACATTGGACACATATTTTTTTATAAATGTATGTGGGTACCATTGGTATCTAGATGGCACCACTTTCAGGGTCTGGAGATAGATAGTGGTATCAAGTATTATAAGAAGGGAAAATTAAGTCAAATCGTGAGTCGGCTAAGACGTGTCTATATGTATATTCTTTATTTTATATGTGTGTTCTGTTTTATATAATATTTTTATGTTGTGTGAATATTTTATATAGAGTTTTCGTGTGTAACTAAATATATGTGTTATTTTTGTTTGTTAACATTTAATAAAGTTTTTGTGTATTAATTTATATATATATATATATATAAATTAAATAATAGTATTGCGTCTTCGCTCTGTTTCTGAAATTGCCTGTTTGCATTTCCACATATATTCTTCCAGAATTTTTTCAAAAAACTTTTAGAGCTTTTAAATGTTTTTTGAAAATTTTCAGAAATGACACAACTATTTATAAAAACGGTAGCACAGTGGGGTCGAGGCACAGTGTGGACGAGGCATAGATGGGACAAGTATAGATGATATCTGACAGTGATTAAAATCACTATCATAAGAAACGCTTCGATGCAAATCTGTAGATAGTGTTTCCTTTAGAGAAATTGGTGAAATATTTTAAAAGCAACATGAACTCTTATTTCTTTAATTATATCCTGATTAGTAGTTCTTTGATTTTAAAATATAATATATGAATAAATACTAATTATAGTTTTTAAATTTAGTATGAAATTGTGAGGCCAGCTATGATGTATGGTTAATAGTGTTGGGCGGTTGATAAGAAAGTAGAGCAGAGAATAAGTGTAGCAGAGATGAGAATGCTTAGTTGGATGAGTGGAGTGACTAGAGAAGATAGGATAAGGAACGAGCATATAAGAGGAAGTATAGGTGTTGCGTCAATCGTGGATAAGATGACAGAAAATAGACTTAGATTGTTTAGTCATGGTATGAGGAAAGAAGAATCGAAAGCTGTAAGAACAGTTATAGAAATGAATGTTGAAGGAAGAAGAGATAGAGGAAGACCAAAAAAGAGATGGAGGGATGCTATTGAATGCGATTTGAGGACAGCTGATGTGAGCGTAGAAGATGTGGGAGATCGTGTCAAGTGGAATCTTAGGATAAGGGTGCCCGACCCCAAGTAGTTGGGATTAAGGCAAAGAAAAAGAAAAATATTACCAGATATTCCGGTGGCAATTGACATAATATGATTGTTATTTCGGAATGTACAATTTAGCGTTTAGTTGGGTTTAAATAATATAGCGTCAAATCAATTACCTACTCTATCGGTTGTATCTCAATATACACTACACTTTAATGATACAATAAATAAATAAACTCACACATACACACATATGCATTTATAACATTGTGTCTAATGTAAGTATAACATGATAAAAAGTAACCGTAAAATGAAAAAAATGGAATATAAATTTTATTACTCATATTAAATGTAATGTAACTCGAAAAATATTTGTTTAAATGAAAAAATATAAGATTATATTTTTATTTATAATTGTCTTTTAAACAACTTTTGTGCGAAACTTTTTTTTGTAAGTTAAATATTTTTTTTTGAGAAAATTAAGAAAGCTCATATTTTTGAACTTTTGCGAGGATTTAAAAAAAAAGCTCAATTCCAATCTTGAGGACTATTAGTATGTCATTATACATATTTTAATTCAACTTTTAAAAAAACAAAATTTTTTCCGCAATTTTTCCTTTGTTGACTGGCCTAGATGTCAATTTTAAACTTGTAATTGAGCTAAAAGTTATGGTAATATATTCAATTTATTTTACTATAAACTTTCATAAATCTTTATCAAAAATTTTTCATCAACTTTAAAGAACCAAAAAAATAGGTTAAAATTGAAAATTTGGACTGATTATTTTTAACATATTAAAAATCAAATCAGTAATAATTTGAAAACAAATTTTTTTTTCTTTTAATTATTATTTTATATATATAATTAGTAATAATATAAAAAATTAGAAGTGATAGAAATAGTCTACTTGCAGATTTGAAAACAACGCGAAAAGTTGATTTAGAAAAGTATATTTTTGCTTCTGATGAAAGTTCCTTGTAGTCCAGTGCATTTTTTTATAGTAACAAACAGTTTTTATTGAAAATTATTGTATCAAGCCCTTTAAATTTTTATACACGTAAAAGTAAAGCAAAATATAACTTCTTTATTATTTTTATAATTTCTCCGTTTAAATTACAATATTAAATATCAATTTCATACTAAATTTAATAATTATAATTAGTATATATTCAAATATTATATTTTAAAATCAAAGAACTACTAATCATGATATAATTAAAGAAATAAGAGTTGATGTTGCTTTTGGAATAATCCACCAATTGCCTAATTAAAACAAAAAAAAAAAAAGTTTGTTGGGAATTTTTTCTGCTATTCTGCAAAATTACTCCTTCGTTGACTAGAATGAATCATTAAATAGAAAATTTTATGAGAATTAAAACAATGTTATTTTTAAGATTAATATGCAGTCAGAAAGTTTTATAATTATTATTTATTGTAAATTTATCAGAAAAACTCATTATTTTTTGCATTTTTATCGTAATAGAACACTTAAATAGAAATCATAGTAATCATTTCTAAGTAATTTTTGATATTTAAAAAGATTCTACTATTGAAATATCCAGAACTGAATTAATTTTAATGATTTACTTTAACTAAAAAAAAAAAAGTTAATATTTTGAATCCCTCTTGTGGGCAGGTAAAGGGTTAGATTTATAAAAAAAACCAAATGATAGATAAAGACATGCATCTAAATAAAAAAAAATATACTGATTTGGTCATTTTTGATAAAGTTATAACAATTAACAAAGTTATAAGTTTTATACACTGGACTACAAGGAACTTCCATCAGAAACAAAAATATACTATTCTAAATCAACTTTTCGCGATGTTTTAAAATGTGCAATTAGACTTTTTCTATAACTTCTAAGTTTTAATATTATTAAAAAATAGTTTTTACATATAAAAAAAAATAATTAAGAACAAAAAAAATTGTTTTAAATTAATACTGATTTGATATAATATTTAATATTAATTTGATTATTAATAAGTTAAAAATAAGGAAAATGACATATTTAACCAATTTTGTTAATCGTTTAAAGTTGATTGTTGTAAATGTTTATAAAAAAAAAAAAAAATTTATTTTACCATAACTTTTAGCTCAATTGGTAAGTTTGACATTGACATAATTAAATAGAAAATTTTATGACAATTAAAAAAATTGTATCGTTAAGATCAATATGCAGTCAGAAAGTTTTATAATTACTATTTATTGTAAATTTATCAGAAAAGCTCAATATTTTTTTGCATTTTTATGGTAATAGATAACTTAAATAGAAGTAATAGTAATAATTTCCTAGGAACTTTTGTTGTTTGTTGAAAAGATTCTATAATTGAAATATTGAGAACTTAATTAATTTTAATGATTTACTTTAACTAAATGTACCAATCAAAACAAAGTTGTTAAAAAGATTTACTCAATTGAGTTTATTATAAAATTTGATTATATTTGTAAAAATCAATTGTTAATTCAGGAGAAAAAACAATCATTTTTTTTAGAAATGATTTATATAGCAACACGTTAGAAAAAAATTTGAATATTATAGTCTAATAGTAGCACACACAAACAGAGTAATAAAATTATTAAATTACAAAGTAAAATGATTTAATTTTGTAGTTGAAACCTATCATATCAAACTTCATTCGTTAATAAATATTTTGAAAACATTAGAAATTAATGATTTTAATTGTCTTTATGGAGACGATGTAATAACTAACTGTTTAATTGATAAATTAGAATTTTTTTTTCAATTTTTGAGAGTAATATCTTCAACTAGATACGAATTGTAGTAATTTGACGTATTGTTGAAAAAAGTAGGTCAAGTTAGAGCAGAGAAAATAAATGATAGTCACAAAAAAATATCTTCTCGGCTTTGCATCGAAGCGAAAACTTAAAATATAGTAAAATAATTTTAATACGAATAAGAAATTTCTTCTTGCAAGGGGCGACTAAAGTGATGGGATCCTTGATCTTTATTGAAGTTATTGAATCTAAATGTGATAAAAATCAAACGAGTTAAAATTTATACTAACTTAAAAAGAATTAAGAAAAAATGCAAAAAATTCATTGCCATATGCGGGTTGGAACCTCGTACCCCAAGCGTGTAAAACATAAATTTTACCAACTCGGCAACCGTACGTTGCTTCCGGCGGTTGAAAAATTGGCTATTTAAGCTAGTTCAAATTTCAAAGTTATTTTTCTCGACTTAAAAGAAACAAACATATTTAAATAAGTTTAACTATCTATACTATATCAATTTTAATTTATATAATATTTATGAAAATCTGTACTCCCCTTGTCAGGTATTTTAAAATAAAATAAAATACAAAACCCAGAATTTTAACACAAAAATAGCATATTTTTGCATACGGTAGTCATTTTTACCATGAAGACAAATCCAGAGGTCAAATTTTTTTTTTTCACATTAAAGTATATTACATAAGCTTTAATTTAAGATATATTTAAAAGTGTCAGTATTTCCGGAATACTTTCAAAAATTAAATTGAAAATATCGTAGTAACAATACGCATGTTTAAAGTTTTGACCCCCCTTGTTAAAGGGGTATGATCCGATTTACAAAAAAAGCGTGCCAGATGAAAGGGGTATATAAATATTTATTATAAAAAAATAATAATATTGATCCATACATTTTTCCAAAAGTTATATAAAATATAAATTAAATAATATAACATATAAAATCGAGATTTTTTTCACGGAAATCGTACGTTTTTCTTTAACTTTGATGTCCGTTTTCACCACGAAGACAAGTCCAGAGGTCAAATTTTTTTTTTTCAAATTAAAGTATATTACATAAGCTTTAATTTAAGATATATATAAAAGTGTCAGTCTTTCCGGAACATTTTCAAAAGTTAAGTTGAAAAAGTTCTACTTTCTATACGCATTTTAAAAGGTTTGCACCCCCCCTGTATAAAGGGAAATGGTCCGATTTTAAAAAAAAGTATGTCGAATGAAAGAAGTATATATAAAGTATTTATCATTAAAGAATAAAGTTGATTCATGCATTTTTTAAAAAGTTATAGCAACATAATGTTAAAAAATGTAAAATATAATATCAAGAATTTTTTCACAAAAATAGCATATTTTTGCATACGGTAGTCATTTTCACCATGAAGACAAGTCCAGAGGTCAAATTTTTTTTTTTCAAATTAAAGTATATTACATTAGCTTTAATTTAAGGTATATATAAAATTGTCAGTCTTTCCGGAACATTTTCAAAAGTTAAGTTGAAAAAGTTAATTTTTTGTAAAAAAGTTACCATTTTGAAACCCCATCCTTTGGGCTGTTAAAGGGTCAAATGTTCACAAAAATATATAAAATGATAGGTAATTATCTAAGGTATCTATAAAAAAAAAAATTATATTGATTCGGTCATTTTTAAAAAAGTTATGGCAATTTTAAGTAAAAAAAATTGAAAAAATATCGAAAATTAGCGATTTTTAAATTTGTAATTTTTTGGGGGATTTCCCCCGTTTACGGGGAACGAGGGAATTTTTTTCAATTTTTGAGGGTAATGTCTTCGACTAGATACGATTTGTGATCTTTTGACATATTGTTCATCAAAATCGGTCCAGCGAGAGCTGAGATTGAGCGTTCACAGACACAAAAAAAAAAAAAAAAAAAAATAAAAAAAAAAACACATCATAGTAAAATTAATACCTTCTCAGCTTCGCATCGAAGCTAAAAAACATAATAACCTTGAAAAATCATTTTTAAATATTTATAATACATTTTTTCTGAAATAAGTAGTTTATTGCTTGAAGTGCTTGAGGATATATCCATGTTTACAGTTGAGTTCTGACGTTTCGGACTCAACTGTAAACATGGATATATCCTCAAGCACTTCAAGCAACAAAACAATCCATGAAAGTTTTAACACATTCATAATAAGTAGTTTAGTTATTGTTCACCTCCCTAAAAAAAATGTTTTAAAGTTTATTTTTCCTTATACCAATGATTAACCAACCAAACGCCTAAGAAAAAATTACTGCAGAATTATAAGATTTAAGAGTTTTTTTTTGTGATTCATAATTTAACTATAACTTTTGAGGTGCAACTTGCACAAAACTGGTTGTGTATTTATTTAATATTTTGATTTTTACTACTTGGTTTTAAATAACAAATAAATTAGGTTGATTTTTGCTGATTCTTTTTTAAAGATATATCATCTTTAATAAATTATCAAAAATAAATGTAATGAAATTGATTAAATAAATTAAACATTATAAATATAATATTTTATTTCGCATATTTTAGAAAATTCCTTTTTGTTAAAATATGGTGTGCATAAGAAGTTTATTAGATGTTTTAGGAGTGTACAGCCTGGAAAATTGGGCAGTCCTAACTAGATGATCTATGTTAAGTTTGACAACATTACTTACATCCTTTCGTGAGCGATTTAAAATATGCTTAATGAAAATTGCTCATGAATGGATGTACCTGATGATGTCTTGTTCAAGATATTTTATGATACTTCTTAAAATAATAATTTTACTCCCTCTTTATTTATTAATAATCTACTTTAATAGAATTACCATAAACTCCAGTTGATATACATGGAAAAGCCTGAAAAATAGAATAATAAATAATAAATATTCTCTAATGGTAAAGAGAATTATTATTCAAATTATGTTCTACTTACAATTGTTCTTAAATTATTTTCTCTACAAACTTTTAAACAATTTTCATATGCCAATTTTAATAAAAATGAGTTCTCTCCAATAGGACCAACAGTATGTATTACATCTTAAATCAAAATTTCAATTTTATAGAATGTTTATAAATTTAAAAAAATGTAAAGAATAACAATATATATAAAAATAATATAACATACGTTTTGCTGGAAGATTATAACCTTTAGTTATTTTTGCTTCTGCAGTCTCACAACCCTTCAACGTCTTGCATTCTTCTTTAAGTTGTGGGCCAGCAGCTTTGTGAATGGCTCCATCAACTACAGCAAAAAATGTATTATTGAATTAGTTTAATTAAGATAAATATGTAAGTGAACCTTGATTAACCAGTAATAAATTGGACCATTGTAGTACAGCACTATGAAAATACCCGATTACAAAAGATTATATGTAAATTACATAAAAAGATAAAAGTTAAACCATTTTACTATAGAAAAAAATTAATGTTATAAAAAATGTTCATTGTTTAAAAAATAATAATCTATATTTTAAAGCAGTTTTTTATAATCTTTTAATCTTTTTTTGTATTAGTTATCATTTTTTGTTATTTATGTTTAACCTCCTTACATAAAATCTAATGCTTATGCTAGAGTTAACTAGAAAACCAGTTTATGCCTGTGTAACAGAATTAAATGTTGGTATCTACACACTAATGGACAATGTGTTACTGACTTAACTAGGTATGCTGTTCATTTTTTTCAATATTTTCTTGTATTTTATTTAAGCTTTAAAAGTTATTACACTTAATACATTTAAATTTTTTTTTTTGCTTGATTGGTTATTCATTGATAGAATTTATTAAGAAAAAGGATCACTTATAATGAAATCTAACAAATTTATAAAACAAAATGATATAAAATATGATTACATTTTTAATATAATTATATTATTTATCTGAAAAAAAAAAAAAAAAAAAAAAAAAAAAAAAAAAAAAAAAAAAAA